CGCAAAATACTCTTGGAAAGTACTGAAGCTGCCAGTTTTATGGTTGGTCCTTTTTCGCTTTTTAAAGATTTTATAAAATATTTTATTTTTTTCGTTTTGCAGTAGAGGACACCGATGGATTTTCTTCAGAGGTATTTCGGTAAAGACTTGTTTTTACCTCCGCCCCAACTGTATGAACTATCGCGATTCCTGAATTATAAACGATTGGATGAATTACTGGAATTTGAGCAAATTCGATCTAAAGAAGGCATTACACATATGCTTCCCGTTATACAGAACTGTACTGACGGCTCTGTTAGTTTGCTACCGGGCGATGATTTTTATCCCAGCGATCCACAGGGCTCGGACCAAGCAGAAGTAATTAATCTTACAATGATGGAATATAGATCAAAGACCCAAAAACTGCATCGCATAGAGTTCTTCAACAACAGTAAACCGCTTATACAATTGAATTGTTCGTCTACAGATGATCATTTTTCACCAACAAACATATGACGGTATACAATATATACTCACATCCGCATGTGTATTTATGTATGTATAATTATATTCTAAGCAAATTGGTGATTTCCAATGCTTAAATTTTTTTATAAAATGGCATTGGGAGAAAATGTTGCACTTTCCCACGAAAGAATGTATGGTAATTTGTGTTATAAAATATAATGGCCCACGGGTTTAAAGTAATTACAAATAAGTAGTATTAACTGTTGAAAATCTGGGTCACCAAAAGTACCCAAAATATGAAATCTAGACTTCTTTTTTTTCAGAATGCATACAAATTTATTTATGTAAGCACTTCCTGGAAAACTGCATTTGAATATGTTTGTTAGATTTAACCAACTCAATGCGTGAAACAATCTTTTAGATAACACCAACTTTTGTTAGGTAACTGTGGCCGCTACAATAATTACATTTCATAGATGAAAAACAATTTATAAACAGGGCTGCCAACTATCCTTAGCTATGAGGTGTCATGTTGAGGATAAAAAAGTGCCAAAATGTGGCAAATAGAAAAATAGAAGTGCCGAAAAATGTGCCATCCTTTTAAATCATTCCCATTTAGCAATAAAATAAGAACCACATTTCTAAATCAAATGCCAAAATAACATAAACCAGTTGAATAACCTTTAGAAATTAGAAAATTTTAGCTGAGAAAAATGGTTTCACAAAAATGTATTGAAATATTACTATTTTTCAATAGTGCCATTTTGGCACTTTGTGCCAAATTGAAAAATCAAGTGCCATTCGATGTAAAATAGGGCCTAAAATGACACGGTTTATAAAAGTGTTTTTAATTGGGCTGATGATTTCACCCGGGTAATGAGCTACCTGGGTAACCGAAAAAATGTGAAGAAGTAAAAATTAAGCGCATTTACGATTATATACCGCAAACGAACGTACATAGGAAAAAACAATAAGAATCTTCCATACCATATGGGGAAATATAATATATATTCGTATCTAAAGGTTGTAGCAATAATTTTACGATTGTAGAAGTATTAAACTGCAGGGAGCTAAAAAAAATAATAATAATTTCTTTTTTATAAGATACTAGCAAAACCGGCTAACTTCGTTCTGCCCAAAATGTTTATTTTTTTATTGAAACTTTTTGGACCAACATTTTCACCAACAATTCACGTTTACAATTTTTATTGGCACATTCATCTGCTAAGATTAGGATTTGGTGGTCATTTGCCGTTTTAAATAACCTAAGGAAAATTTTACATCCGTGAAGAAGTTCTTGAAATTTTCCAACTGTGCAGCGTTTCATAGCATGGTTATTCGCAAAACGAAATTAATTTGAAGAATTTTTTCCTCTTCACTCCCTGGCGGCAACAATGACCCGGTTCTATAGTGTATCTGTCCTAGAAGTTTTACAGTATAGTTGGTGGCAATTTCAAAATGGGTGCGGATCATTGTTCTACAGAAATGCAATATACATATTAGAGTGGTTCATAAAGACACTATTTTTGGAAATTCATAAAAGCTACATCAGAATATTATTATTTTGATTAAAAAAAGTATTTTTTTATTTTGAAAAAAGTTTTTTTTTATTTTGAAAAAAAAAAAGTTTTTTTAGAGGTCGCGCTGTTCGTTTTTTTATAAAAACACTGATTTTCTAATTTTTTTTATTTTCTTGACATGTTAAAATGCAGCTAAAAATGTGGGTTTTACATATAATTACTCTGGTATTATTGGGGAACATTCCCTTAACTACACACCTGTCTTGGACAGTTACAATGGACCTAGTTCCCGAAAATACGCTCTCGAAAAGACACTAGTAAAATTAAAACGTTGATACTGAACGATTTACGCATTGTCATGGGTTGGAACTTGTTATCAGGGGGTTTCTGGGGTTGCTAATTAGGATTCTGAAGGCAGCTTTTCAAAATTCAAATTTTATCAAAAATAACAATAATTTGAGGTAGGGATTATGAATTTCCAAAAAAAAAATTTAGAACCTCTCTAATACATATACTTATTTCAGACGAAATACCTTAAAAGCTTGAACACATATTAATATTGGAAAATCACATCCGTTGGACCAATCGTAACACAGGAGAGTTCGATATACTCAATGGTGCAACAGGTCGATTTAATCTGATCTTCACGGCACCTTTTCTCACTTGGCTATTTTTAGTAATAACTCGATTCCAGAGCCACTTGGCAGCACTTTTTTGCAATAGTATTGCTCTTACCATTACCAATACATATTTAAAATATCAGCCAAATCGTATCATAAATAAGATTTTTAGTAATAACTCAACGACAGCGCCAACTGGCGGATTAAATTGGGAAACTAAACCACCAAAGAGACCCACTCAAACACGCAAAATAAAAATTTCGTTAAAATCCGTACAACCATATAGGAGGATTTCACTCACAAACACACCTACAGAAGAATTATAAATACATTCAAAGATAGTTAAAAGTCGGTACGTTTGTAGACCTCAGGCCCCCCTTTTAAAATAGCCCCAATTTTCTCCATGAGTATGGGCTTGATTTCATGTACATACATATCTCCATACGAAATTCCAGCACTGTACATTCGGTTTGTATGGGAGGTGCCACGCCCCCTTTTCCAATACCTCCCATTTTTCTTCATGAGTATGCGATTGATTTCATATATCTCCATACTAAGTTCCAATACTCTA